AAGCGTAAATGTAAGGAAGAATGGGTAGTAGTAGTAGTAATATAGGAAAACAACAGAGTTTTACTCGATACGGTAGATCACAGAGAGTGAATGTACCTGCACCACTGAGAGAACAATTTTAAGCCATATCAACAACATTTTCCAGTCATTGGTTTTGAGCATCCGGAGGTAGTCTACACCTAACTACATGGCTCAAACTGAAGACTGATTCCCTGTTTTCGTTTGACCACCATCTTTTACTCTTTTCCAACCCAATCCTATGCCAGCTAACAATGCCCGTCGAGGAAGGCGATGGTTTGTCGTGCGTAACATGTGTCATAGCCATCTCAATCTATGTGGCTTCACAACCTCATCATTTGACTTTCACTACTTACTTAACATTCGACGCCTAGCCTTAGTATTACTCGCCCTATTATACAACTTAACATAAGAGATGATAGAACGCAGACATCTATGATCAAAGACCATCAGCTAGCCAGTCCCTTCAAAAATCTTCCACTCTCAATGGACATATCTCCCACCACTGAGGAAGGACAGAGCGAAGTCAGTGCAGAGTAGGCTTATAGCATCATCTTGTATATGACAAAGGCGAATTGTATGTTAAATATACTAAGATTTCTGCTCAACGTGTTCAGAAGACTATGGATTCTGTCAGAGAATTTACCTAGAAGGATAATATCACCTGTATACTCTAAGTCAACAACACTGTTTCCTGGTAGCACGTCAATCCCTAAGTCGTTAAGGTCGATTCGAGTTACATCCATTAGTACATCTATGATGAAATCAAACAAAAATGAGAACGATGGACGTTCCTAATGAGCACCACTGATTCTCATCCCTATAGATGACAACTCTCCATAAGCCCTAATACAGGTGTATGAGTTTGAGTAGAGTGCCTTTCTTCACGAGTGGATATTGCCACAGCGCTTCTCGGCTGACAGAGTCAAACGCTGGCTTAAAGTCAAGAAATATGGCGAATGTTGGACGCCAGCAAGTATGCTTATGTTCCAGAATACACCTAAGTCTTTTGATTACGGATGTTTGCGTTATACCTCCAGTGCTAGTTGATATAATATGGTAAGTTATATTGAGGTTACGTGTAGATTTCTAGGTAAGAAAGGGAAATCAATCAGTAAGGTTTTGAAGGTGAATCGATCAAGATGGCTAGGGCACGTTGTGCACGCCCGGTCATTATCTCTTTCCACCGGAAATATTAACCGACATAGGATTCGGTTGGAAAAAGAGTTAGAGGTGGTGGTCAGATTGAAATCTGAAAACAGTTCATGGAATCTTTGACAATTATATTGATCCACGTAGGGAAGTGATGGACTGCCTGGTTGGAGTTTCCGGGATTCGAAGGATCAATCACTTGAGAATCTTGGTGATGTGAGTCAAAATCGTTCTCAATGACGCAGACGTATCTCACTCTGTAACCTCTGACAGGTACTAAACCCCCATGTCTTACCATGTTTCTATCCTTCTGCCTTTATACAGTTATTTTAATTTTCGGTCTCATTTCTCTACCTCTGTATAGTAGTACATGGAGTATGATAACTTGAAGTGTTACATATATCTGTGCGAAGTTCTATGCCGAAACTCATTAAGGAATAATATGTAATAACTATCTCTCTTTTTTGTGCTTATAATCATTATTTTTCTTTTAAAAATTGCCTTTAGGGATTAGAAATAGTCAATCCACAAGCTGCAGAGAAACCAATGGAAATTGGAAATAAGTATTTCAGTAGCACATGTGGTTTCAAAAAAATTGAAGGAAAGAAGAAAATTGATGATTCCATGACAAACGGAGAGAAGCATGTTTGAGAAGATGGTTGCGGAATCTCCCAATATATATGTGTGTTTGTACAAAGAATTTATTTTGTTGTAACAAGTGCGCACATCATCCATACTTTCAAGCGGAAATTAAGTATTGTTGAACTTATATCAGAAAAATTAAAACTGATCAGCTTAACCCCGTTTTCTCTCACTTGTTACTACAAATTGTATAATATATATCTTATGTAAAATAAAATACATATCCTATATTTTATATCAGTCTTTCAAAATGGTCGGTTTTTTGTTTAGCAGCACTTAAAATAGCAAGCGAACATGTAATATTAAAACAATTAGTTCCTTTGATAAGGCAAATTTCGAGAGATGATATTGTCATTTCGTAGTTTCTTTACAACCGCTTTACAACTAACGTGGTTAACAATAATAAAATAAATATCATGACAATTACTCAGTTAAATAAAAAGTACATACTAATGACCAACCATATTTAGATAGGTCATGTTGTCCATGGTAGGCGAAGATTGAAGTCTATTGTTTTTTGTTTAGGCTGTATTTGACTAATCCAAAGTGCTTCCATCACTTTCAGTTACCATGAATTAGAGTTATGTGAAATAATTGTGAAACAGTCATTAATATTGATTTTGTGACCTGACATTAATAAGCGTTTTGCAATGGATGATGCTGGATTTCTATTCAGATTAATCGCGTTGGGATTTTCCATATGATTTAGTAGCCATTTTGGAACATGTTCTTTTCGGCGACATTGGAACATTCTCTTGGTTCTACCTATATAGGTGTCACCGCAGCTGCAGGTGAACTTGTAGATACAGTTTGAAGTAGAGTCCATAGAATTTCGTCCTTTAATCGTAGGTACAGGGATCGAAAATGTTCGGCAACTGAGAAAAAGAGATGCGGCGTAGAATGTGCGTTTGGTGGCTAACCGAAGTCTTTGAGCTGTCAACTGCATAATCTGGTCGCCCTTGAATGGTAGGTTAATAAAGATAGCTTTCTTTGTTACAGAAGCTGTCTTTTCGAGATTTGGTCTTTCTTTACTGTGACAAGTGATAAAGTTCTCCGGATAACCATTAGCTAGTAAAACTGAATGTATGTGTCGAAACTCACCCATCATTGTGTCACTCGTGCATACTTTTCGGGCCCTTGAGAACAAACATTTCAATAGGGAACGTTTATACTGAAGATATTGTCCACTCCATGTCTGTTTACGAAAAATAGATCGTTCCATCATCTCTCCTAGTCATACTACGAAATGATATCATCTCGCGAAATTTGTCTTCTTAATGCCTTATTCGAACATGTAATAATTTGACAAAACACACGATAAGTGTTATAGTGTAATTTCTTTTACTAGTGTTATTTCGAACACAACTTATTGCTTATAATTATATCAGAGGAAACTCAATGAAGCCTTTGAAATGAAGATAGTAGAAAGATAAGACTGTGCCTACCATCATTGGTGATGCTTCCGATTGTGGTGGACTGGATCATACAATAGACTGTGCAGAGTGAGAAGACGTACGTATACGTTGAGTCGGCGAAAAGAAGACTGAGGAAAATCTAGACTTTGCGGATGACTTATCTTTAGTGTCACAGAAACTCAAAGATCCACAAGCAAAAACCAACAAGTTGGCGGTAGAAGAGGCACGTAGCGGACAGGACTTCGGGTGAACACAGAGGTAGGGGATGAAGACAGCTACCTAGCCAAAAACACCAATCACTACCAGCGGGCAAATTTTTTTAAGGAAGTTGTCTCCTTTACTTACCTCGGCAACACTGTTTCAGCTACAAGGATGCGGATGTTCATGTCAGAATCGGAAAAGCAGAACATGCGTTCAATACTCTGCAGTCAATATGATATGACACCCAACTATTGGTTAATGGAGGTGTAACGTACAGCAGTTTAATCTATCATCCGTTATAGCTATGAGATGTAGCCACTACAAGTGGAAGGTATGAAAACGTTAGCTGTCTTTGTTCTGTCTCCTGTGTTGGATTAGTATGACACGATATGGTGAGTAATATTGAGGCTAGGCGTGGAGTGCCGCGTAGGGGAGGGAAGTCAATATACATAGAATTATGAAGTGACATCTATTGAGACAGATTAGACGCTTCTTGCTGCACATCTGTAGTCACAACCCTCCTCCACCGGAAACGTGAGCTAACATAAGATTAGGTTGGATGACAGTTAGCGGCGAGTATATCAAAACCTGGGATCAGTCCATGAAGTCTTTGACAGTTGGTTTGAGGAGCCAGCCACTTAGGGAGCTGTCTGACTGGAGTCCTTGGGATGGTAAGAATCCACAATAGCTGGAGACTATTGATCGATGATGCAGTAAACACTCAAGTGTTTCCAAGTTACTTTTCTTTCTCTCGCACATTTCTGCTTATAGTAGTTCTCTTGGAAATTTATTTTCCTTTTCTTTTCTCTACCTCTGTATGCTACATCGGGTGTGTGTGTGTGTCAAGTTGAACTGCTGGTACAGTTTAGATGCGTTGAAATTCAGCAGTCAGTCAGCGATCGCGAGCTACCTAGAATGGTGGCCACATTGCATATACTTGACTGACAGAATTCAGTCTGCACCAAAGAAGGACTAGATACGTCACACTAGTTACTAGTGTCCAATCAAAATACCCACTACAGTCCTACAGGAGGTCAATCGCGAGCCTGAATAGCTCAGTGGTAACGTCTCTGACTGCAGCACTGGGTGACGCGGGTTCGAATCTCAGAAGGGACATGAGTTCCTTCAAGATTGCAGATACGCCTTGTTGATGAGTGCCAACTAGGACGAAACCTAGGTCCAAGGCTTCCTGCCGATTGCCTCCAACTATCTAATATCAAGTCAGTCAGTGCGCTAAAATTAACGTTACTAGTACTTCCGTGAATCACTTCTGCTCACTACTTTAGTCATTATATAATACCCGCTTTTTCAAAAGGCAGATATATTTATTTTCTTTAAAACAAAAACCAAAGGTGACTCTGATTTGTATATAGACACTTGGTGGAGGGGGGGGCATTTATAAATATTAAAAAAAACATCCACAAATACAGAAGGGGGGAATATACAAACAATGAGATTTACATAGAGAACAAGCAAAGAGAAAGTAGTAATAGGGATTGTGTAGCTGCAATTGTTCCTCTTTATTATTATTTGAATCGAAATGATCCATTGCTGATTGCATCATCATCGTCATCATTGAATGTTCTGATTGGTGTTTGTGCTTATCAGAATTTTCTCCAAGCGATTATGCATAACTTGAATAAATAGTCGTTGATTCTGTTTTAAGAAAGCAGCCTAATAAAACAAAAAAGAAACAGAGGGGAGGGGGAGTCGAATTAATGCCACAGAAATATCCTTAGAAGGTAGGTATTACGCAACACAAACAACCATATTCACTCTATTTATTCATATCTACAAAAAACTGAAATAGAAACCAAGTCGGAAATTAAATACCTAAGCGTCATTCTATCTGTTGATCTCTCCTGGTCGTCTCATATCTTAGCGATTTCTAAGGAAATATTCCGTCTAACCTTCTACATCAAGAAGTTAAAACATCCTGGTATAACCCAACGCTTACTCCTTCAATTCATTAACTCTCGCATTCTGCCTATTATTCTCTATTGTTCCCCCTTAGTTTTTCCCAGGGTACAGAAGAAAGACTATACCATATTACGCAGGATGTCAAAGGTTGTCAGCAGGGTAAGCAACGTGCCACTTAACCAGCTTGTTAATATTCTGGTTGACAGGCACATGGACTCGTGTGAAAAATGGGCCAAATCCATATTATCTAACTCACACCACCCTCTTCACTCACAACTCTCCCCTTGCATCTCATCAGACAAAACCAGAAGCCTATATAGAAAACTATATGCTCGCCCCAGCAAGTACAAAAACTCAACCATACCCTACTTAGTTCGTGTTCTGTGCGATAAAGAAAGTATTAGGCGTGATACCTAAAGGTGCAACATTTTTTCTTTTCCTTTTCTCTCTCTCCTTTTTTTCTTTCTTCCGCCTACGCCAGTAAATATGACAGCTCCTACTTTTCTAACACCTTCAAACACTGTTCAGCTTTGGCTTTGCTACCGACATGCCAATGTGTTGTTGTAATAATGAACTGAGATTTCCTTAGTCTATGTAGAACTCTATTTATTGATAATGTACTAAATGGACTCTCTCTCTCTATATATATATATATATATATAGACTATTCTAGAATAGTAGTCAATAACAACATTAGTGTTTTTTAAATAATATCGATTGGTAAAGTAAGATCACAATGGAATTACAGTTCATTAAAGATGCTTAAATTATAATAAAAATAAAGATATAATAGCGAATAGAATATCAACTAAAATTAAGGATTAGTAGAACCTAGATGGCCAAGGTAAGGACAATATCTGAACTAGCTTCTTTTGAACACGTAAATTAGAATTCTTAATATGGATCCCAACAGCCAGCCTCAGCAATATTTAGTAAACGAACACTTAAGGCGAAGTTAAAATTTGTTGGCATCTGTGGATTCCCCTATTGACATATATATGTATATGTCGACTGAGTTGAACAGCTTGTTAAACGGCTGCTTCAATATTTCCAGCATTATTGACTCAAAGTTGCTGGTTTTTTATGCTCACTAGAAAGTAATGGAATTCAGAAGGCGCTTTTCGACGCGTTTACGACTTGTCAGATAAATAATGTTCATGCACATTTAAATGGATGACAGTGTTCCTTGTGAAACACTCGTGGCCCCCAGTAGATGACGCTTTTGCATTTGAAGAAATGCGTGCAGACTTCCAGTTTCATTGACAACAACATCATCATCACCCATTAGGAATCAGGTTTTTCTAAATGATGCATCGCAAAATGTAGGAACGCCTTACGGGAACAAAGACCCTGAAGCCATTTAAAAAGAAACAGTTACCTACCTTAGTTAAGTGATTCAGCATTTCAAACATTTCATGAAGCATTGAATGATCGAAATGACTACGAAGAAAGGCAATATTCTTTTGCACTAGGCTCTTATCTTCATGACCAGTACCAGTACCAGCAGTAGCGGCAGCCGTATTAACTGTAATCTGTCGCTGTGCTGGAGATGATGATAAGGGTTTTGCTTTCGGTGATGAAGTAAAACTTGACGAGAGATCACGTAAACGTTGAGGCTGTAAAGATTGATCTTTTGATTTGATGCTTTCAACTTTTGTATCCTGGTTATTGATGAAGTTAGTTAAATGCTTCCATAATAAAAAGGCTGACTGTTCAATAATACCTGTATATAGAGTATAGGGATATAATATGTGTGTGTGAATAAATCATGAGAGGAAAAAAAAACGTGTTAAACGCGAGAACAACTTTGATAAAATCAACAACAAAATATTCATTAAGGCCAACTGAATAATCGTGCGAACATTCTATGTCCATATAATACTTGTTTTTGCTTTCATCGTAGGAAGAAGACATAATACAGTCTGACTAGCTTCCTGAAGGCTTTCATCAGCCAGTGTGTCATTGTTTTTTCTCTTCGATTCCAGTGAAGAGTAAGTTCAGTTTTTATATTTTTTTTTGATGGGATTTGAAGTTTCTGAAGGAAATGAATTGATTTATTGAGAGCGGAAGACATGAAAAGATTAGCTGTCTTCGATCATAGGTGTCTGCGTTCTATCTCCCGCGTCAAGTGGTGGTATAATAAGGTGAGCAATATTGAGGTTAGGCGTCGAGTGCTAGGTACGGAGGGAGGGGAAATCAGTCGACGAGACTGTGAAATTACATCGACTGAGATGGTTAGGACATGTGTTACGTATGCCTAGTCATCGCCTTCCTCGACTGACGGGCAATGTTAGCTGACACAGGATGGGTCAGGCTGGAAAAGAGCTAGCGGCGGTCAAACGAAAACATGGCACCAGTCGATGAAATCTACAACAGTTAGTCTAAGCCACGTAGGAAGGTGTAGACTTCCTGACTGGTTGGGGTCCTCGGGACGGTAAAAACCAATGGTTGGAAACAATTGGTGACACGACTCAAAATCGTTCTCAATAGCTGGCGCAGATGCATCCACTCCTTGTGACTTATGATTTCCAATGAAACTGTTTTGTTCTTCGTTATTACTATTCCTTTGTCTCGCACCTCTGTTTACTGTCTCTAATGTGCATTTCTCCTACTTTTTTCTCTTGCTTTGTGTGCTACATGGAGTGTGGCGACTTGAACTGCCGCACATATGTGCAAAGTTCTATGTCGGAAACCGACCGACCGACCGAAATGAATTGATTTTCTGGAGTAGGGTCACCAGACCGACGCCAAACCTTCGCCTATCTTCCACGCTTACGATCGGATATTGAATTAGTTGACATCGCACGCCAGGCTCTCACAAATGGGAGTTGAATGGTAGACAACGTGTTGGAGGTCGCTTCGAGAGTGACATAGAGGAGATTATTTTCAAGGGGAAGTGAAGGTATGCTACCGTAGCCTTATGTTTTACTCGGAAATCAAAGGAATAATAATAGAAAGAATAACAGAGCTAACTGACACAGAGAACAGTCTACAAACCAATGTTTTCAATAGATAGAACTTTCATCAGTGAAGGATAGACCTCAGAGTGAGTTTAGTTACCTAATTTGAAATCACACTTATTGTGTGAAAGCTGATAATACTAACGAGTTGGCCAGAATGAATTGCACGGATTCGAACCTGAGACCCACCCATTGATTAGCAAGCAGTTCAGTGCTTTAACCAATTAGAACGGAATAGATAATGATATTGTACTTTTGTTTAAAGCTTAATTAGTTCTGGATATAGTTCAACAGAATGAAAAGATCAGTTGTCAGGATTACAATAGTGCTCCTCTATCTGAGAACTATGCTATGTGACACAATCATATTTTGATGTCTTCGCTCAATACTCAAGATCAGATGGCCGGAAAGGATCAGCAACAAAGATCTCTGGGAGCGAACCAACCAGGAACCGATTGTGAAACAAATAGGCAGGAAAAAATGGAGATGGATTGGCCACACTCTGAGGAAACCAGCAAGTGACATCACTAGACAAGCCCTCGAGTGGAACCCGAAAGGGAAGCGACGAGTTGGTCGTCCAAGGGTGACCTGGAGGAGATCATGTGAAGAGGAGATGAAAGCATGTGGGCAGACCTGGAACCAGGTGAAAACTCTAGCAGAGAACCGAACGCAATGGAGACGCATGGCTGAAGCCCTATGTTCCTCTAGGAACTAAAGGAAATAATAATAATAATTGTAAGCATGAATACAATAGACTACTTACTACCTGACACTCGAGAACAAATCGGAATCCCTCACATTAGGGTTGGGTTCCAAGTGAAACATAGGAAGTTTTGAGGGGTGGGGTTGCTAGCTTTACATCCAACCTTTCCTCTTTTTCTATCTGATTATCGGCTAGTAAACTGAGAGGTGCGTCGGTGGCACAGCGGTTAGGACGCTCGCCGACCATGCACATGGTCCGGGGTTCGATCCCCGGCCACAGACGCACTCCTTTACCTCGCTAAGCCAGTAATAAAAGTTGGTAAAGAGGAAAGGTTGGACATGAGGCTAGCAACCCCATGCTGTAAAAATTAACACTGCTACAGAAACTTCAAGCCTCGAGCTTGAAGCCCTGTGTTCCACTGGGAACGTGAAGGAATAAAAAAAACTAAGCGGGGTTTAGAAGTGCATCGCCCGAGAGTCGGAACCGAAATTCCCCCACGGTTGGCGAGCATTGTATCACTGAACTATCGACGCACGAAATACAACATATACACTCCTGCACACACACACACCAATCGCATAACATTCAGAGATCCACTTTCATAGTTTCAAAACTGCTAAATAAAGAAGTGTAATTAAACCAATAAGTCCAACTAGATAGTTCTAAAACAGTTCAATTACAGAGAACAGATTTTTCGTCTACTGGGCTAAGAGTCACACTTGTCATATGCGTGAGGGTTGATGATACTACCTAGCTGCTTAGGTTGAAGTAAGTGTGTAGCAGAATTCAAGTCAGTAAGTAACCCAGCGGCCGAAAACTGAGTGCTTTAAACCAATGCATCACATCTTCTTTGAGATACAAATACTAGACTGTTATGTCTATGACTGCTGTAATTATTCCCAAAGTGTATTCAGATATACCTAAGTGTCACTTGAAATTCATTTGCATTCACGTGAACGTAAAGAATTATCAATATATATTAATTATTCCTAGCTTTCTGAGTGGCACATTGCACTCTGTGTGTCATCATTTTGATATAACTGCATAGCTGTACACACAAGCTTTCACGTATTCATCATAATATCACCTTCAAACTTGCACCCTACCCGATGCTTGCCATATTTTATAGCTTCCACTCGATAGATAGCCTGGTGTAAAATGTCACTTAAAATTGTCTCTTCAGAGCATGAGTGATTGGATTATCCAATCTTCATTTATTTTTGCAAGTGTTTGTTAGCCGATAGATTGTTGACTAGTTTGCTACTAGAGATTACTTTCGACGATCTGATCTTTAGCATTTGATGACAACAAGCTACACCTATTATGTCAGGGAAGAAAAAACTATCTGGTTATTTAAAGCGTGACATCTGATTACAATTTACACTTTAGCCTCTTTATTTTATCATTAGACATTATCAGTCAGCCCTCACATTCAGTGTCCCCTTTGTTAATGTGTGTTTGTATGTATTTTGTGGTTATCGCAATTTGTATTTAATAAGGAGCATTACCACCAAATAGATGGGGTTGCTATGGGTTCTCCCCTTGGTTCCTTATCAGCTGACATATTTCTATCTAAATTGGAAAATGGTCCTTTAAAAGAGATACTAAACAAACTCGATTATTATTGTCGATATGTTGACGATACCTTTATCATTTGCAACAATAATGTGGCTAGACAATACCTGCTCCAAGTCTTCAATAAGGTACACCCAGCTATTAAATTCACTTGTGAAGAGGAACTCCAAGGCAGTATTCCATTTCTGGATGTTCTTCTTACAAAAAGAACAGACGGTACCTTTGAGAGAAACATCTATAGGAAAGCGACGTGGAATGGACAATACACCCACTTCCATGGCTTCATACCTATACAATATAAGCGCAACCTAATTCGTTGTCTCAGCCATAGAATTAGACGCATATGTACCGACGACTGCATTGAAGATGAAATAAGAAATCTTACAAACGCCTTGCTACAAAACGACTATCCTACCAACTTCGTAAAGAAGTATATCAATGAAACTACACACAAAATTAAGCGAGACACAATAAGAAAAAGCTCCACTTAAATTTACAATTCAAAGGCGATATATTAAACCGTAGATTAACGAGAGCAGTTGAAAGAACTTTCAGTGCCGCAAAACTGCATGTCACTTTCTCAACCAAACCGATATTGAAACTGTGCATTAAAGATAGATTACCCAAAATGACGACATCAATGTGTATATATAAATTCAACTGCTCGTACCCAGAGGAATTTATCTCTACGCACTCGTGAACATATTCCGGTCTGGCTTGGGAAAAGAGCGACCAAATCATTAAATAGTGCGATTCTGGCTCATCTAGTGGATAGCGAACACAGCATCAAAGTAGATGAGTCATTTACAGTTGTGTATCGAGTACCGAACAATCTCCCCAAAGGCACACGATTACGCCTCCTAGCCATAGCTGAGGCTTTAGAGATTAATAGAGAAAGACCAGACTTATGTGTACAGAAAAAAACTTATTCACTCCCTCTGTCTACCCTGGTCAGGATCATAATTTTCCGTATTATTATTACCATTATTATCATTCTGTGATATCATGTCTTTATTATCCATTTCTCCACCTAGTTTATTTCACCTCATTGTTAACCTTAATTTTGTCAACCTTTGTGATTTTATACTAAGCCTACCAATTCTGTAACATCTCATTACAATTTAGCCTCTTTATTTTATCATTAGACATTATCGGTCAGCCCTCACATTCAGTGTCCCCATTGTTAATGTGTGTTTGTGTGCATTTTGTGTCTATCGCATTTCTCTCACCCCAATGACACTTGTATTCTGATGACTATAAAACAACACTATATCACCCAATTGTTCATTCACACTTCATCACATTTTTCTGACTATACACCCTATACACATTTGATTGATTATGTTAACTAATGGACTATCACCTCAACTTACACATGCACCCCAATACAGTTTCTGATATTATTTTCATTTGCCTTTATTGCCTATATGTACCCTATTATTATTCATGGATTTATAACTGTAGAGCCTGAAGAAGAAGAAGCTATCGAAAACAATTGTTCGCTTAAAATCTTGTTTTGATTTCAATATGGGGATATTTCATTTACTAAAGCGTGATAGGTGTGGCAGCACATACCCGGAATGCATAACCCAATAGTTGAAAGTGGAATACTTCGCACCAATGAATGAGAGATACAACTTCATTTGAAAATCACTTACCAATAAGTCCACGCAATTGAACACGTAAACAACTAGCACCAATCTGTGTTAATCTCTGCATCATCATAAACTCTGAATTCTGACTTTCTTTACCGCCGGTCATTCGACTACAAAATAAGAGTACATGTAAATTATATAGAAAGAATACTATTCAATGTACATTAAGTGACAATGTCAATGAGCCATGAAATATTCACCTTTCGTAAAACTATTTACTACTGATTGGTTGAGATGTGGTGTCTTTTTCTGGCCTCACGCCGAAACCTTCCCTGTATTCTGGGCTTACTACTGGCTAAGCCAAATTAAGGAGTGAGTCGGCTGGGGATCGAATCTCGGATCAAGTGGGTAATGGGCAAATATTTTACCGCTGAACTACCAATATACAACCAAATAATCAATTAGAGATCCCCTAAAAACCACCAACGAATACTTGACAGTCATTTCGTCCTAATTTGGGACTCTTCAGTAGCGTGGATTCACTGGGGGGTTCGAAGTCAGCAACTTGTGGTTAGTAGGCGAGCTCATAGATCACTCAGCCACTGGAAAATTCAAATAATGGATTAAAATAAGGTAAGCTTTAAGTCTAGTGTTTATTAAAGTCAATAAAAGCATACTACGCAAAACGAAAAAACGGGGAATTGATTGTGTTCTAACTTACTCATTAGAATTTAACAACTGTGCAGAAAAATTAAAAATGATAGATGAAGCTTGTTTCAATTCATGGATGGATAAGTTTTCACTGGATGATTCACACTATAGTAAAAAAAAAACAACAACATAAAAGCATAGAAAAGTAAATTGTTGCTTGAAATGATAGCTATTTTTATTACTGAATTATTTAAATATATCAGTGGTTGTTGAGTAACAAAATTTCACTGCCAACGGTTAGTCACAAAAGCCGCATACAACTCAAAAACTAGAGAGTAGCTTTCTTTCACAAATATAAGACACAGGAAAAATAAGTATAGGTGAAAAAAGGTGGGATTTTTCCCTCCAAAAGTCCAATTATTATTATTGAATAACTTTAGAATTACATTGTTACACTGATTAAGAAAGCTACAGCGTCGAATGACATGACATATAAACCAATTTCCCGTGCTAAAATAATTTACGAAGATAGCAGCTCAGTTTCTCATTCACACACACACACATACTACTACTACTTTCGGCAGGCTAGAAGTGTATTATCTCTTCTAATCCGTCCCCATCTCTTTGTCACTAGACTAGAAAGTCTTGTCTTTATGCTTAATTACTGTACCAATTAACATTTACTTTTGAATTTCTGAGATACATAAAAATATATCCAGTATTTGTGCAGGATGCACTACACTATTCAAGCAGCCATCTGATATGTAATCAGATTCTCTAGCAGACAGTTAATCCACTCAACATTAAGGATAAGGTACCGCTTTTGGCTGTATCAATGTGTATTTCTCAGTTCAATGTTCAGCCTAGAACAGCCAGAGCAGAAAAGGAGGATACTAGCACTTCTATCTTCCAACACCTTGTCAACTCTGGACATTGAGTACATTCCGCAGAACTGCCTTACACTGTTCCTGAATGTCGCACGAAATGACTTTGAATACGCCGTCTATTGGGGCTTTGAAACCAGACTTCTGTGTTTAAAAGGACTACATACATTCATTCACCCTACTATGACCAAAGTAACGTTTTTACTGTATTTTGCTTCATTTTACTTTGTAAGTTTATTATCATTATTATTATTCTCATCATCCTTATTAGACCATCACTCTACTGTGGTTTACTAATAATAACACATTTTCATCATTTAGATTTTATAGAAACACTATCAACACATTCTATGCGTCGTTGGTTCACAATAGTAGAATCATCAGCAACGATATATCAGTGATCCGAGTTCAATTTCCAAAAACAACACCTTTCTAAACTTCGTCCACTTTACTTATTATTATTATTGTTCCCTTGGGTTCCTAGTGAAACATAGGGCTTCAACTGCACGTCTCCACTTGCTTCTGTCTTCTGCTGTACTTTTCACCTGCATCCATGTTAATCCATACTGTTTCAACTCCTCTTCACACGATCTCCTCCATGTCACCCTTGCACTAACGTCCCACTCGCCGCTTCCCTTCCGAGTTCCACTCGAGCTATGGGCTGACGCGCGATGTCACCCAGCGGCCTCCTCCTCAGCGAGTGTCCAATCCATCTCCACTTTCTCCTGCATATTTGTTGGGCGATTAGTTCTTGTTTTGTTTGTTTGTTCCCATAGTTTCTTGTTGGTGATTGTTTCTGACCATCTGATCTTCAGTATAGAACGAAGACAGTTAGTTGTTGATAAAGGTCTGCAACAGGCTGTTGGAAATATTCTTTGTGACCCACCGCCAAGTTTCTGATCCATCCGTATAGAAGAACTGACTGACTTGACGTTTGTATTGAAAATCCGAATTTTGTTGTTGAGTGTTGCTGAGTGACGAAGATTTCCTGAATGGTTTCAGGTTGATGAATGTGTTTCTCGCCTTCCCGATTCTCGCTCGATTTGACATCCTCGTCCGTTCCTCGTGTAGTTGAGACAATACTCCCTAGATAAGTGGATGAAGTAACCTCTTTCAAATCCCTCCTGTTGATGGTGATTGGCGCTGGATGTTGCTGCTGTTGTTGTTGTTGGTTGGTTATTTTCACAACCTTCGTCTTGTCTATGTTCACCTGGAGTCCTGTCTTTGCTGCCAGCCTCTTCCACCAGTTTGTCAGTTTTCGCTTGTAAGTCTTCGATTTTGTGTGACATCAAACATAAATCATCCACGCGCGAAATCCAGGTGTTCTAGGTTCTTCACGTCGGTCCCTGTCTTCTTCTCACACAGAGAATGTGCTTTTCGATAATTTCCTCTCCGTCAAGTTCTAGTGCTATCTATCCAAAATAGTTAAAGAATAGTTGTTATTAAAAAAATCAATGCTTTAAATAACATTGAATGAATAAGATCAGTTCAAAAGTGTCTGTAAGAGAATCATACACATAGATATAAACATAAATTAAGTATTACATAAATTACCTAAAAGAACAAAACGACGAATATGCATTAATTACACCGCTTGACCCCCCCCCCCCCCGAAAAAAATATGATACAGTTGAGAATTTGAATAGACTCCAGGCCTTTCACCTTTCCCCTCCAAAATGCTCTCTCTTGTAAGAACGCGTTAATAACACTACCGCCAGGCGATTCCTTTTCACTGTCTTCACTCAGCAAGGAGTTTTCTTACAGTAATGAAAGGACTGGTGTAGAGAGAGAGAGAGAGGTATTAGTAAGATCAACAGTTCAGTACAGATGGGCTCGAGGATCTAAAAGAAACTAATGAGGTATAGATCGGTAACCACAGAAATCCAGTAAGTGATGTTATTTTGTTGCCATGTTTACCAAACCATAAGTGACAGGTTCACAGCAGAGTCGTACCTTACGACTGGCCAACCGGGTATTATTTATCCCAACCTTCACGTGAATTACGTAGTGCATCCACATATGGTGGGTGAGCATATTTTACACGATTAGTCTTTTAAACAAAAATACAAACTAAAAAAAAACAACTAATCAACATACATTTAACAGTTGGGCAACAGACTGTCCAAATTGTTGTTTTTGTTGTTGTTCACTGTGATGATTCTCTGAACGTTTATTTTTATTATTACTATAATTATTAAGGAATTGAGCATTCATCAGGGATATGCAAATCTTCTCCTTGCTGTATAAACATTTCATTGCCCATTTCAATATAGTAATAAATAAAGCCAACGTATCGAGGACTTTTGAATCCATATTAGTACTACTATTATTATTATTATTATCTGTATATGTGGGGGAAAAATAAGAAAAGAAAGAAAGAAACGATAATCACTACTTATGTATAGAGAGAATGTCATACAAAGAATATCACTGTAAGAAGGAAAATATAGTTATGTTTTGTTAGTTTATTAGCAACACCGACAGTGCAGTGCACCAACGAAAGGAACCATATTGCCCGCGATTTGCCAACTTACCTACCTCACATCTCTGGGATAGATGTGATATCCGGTCACCGATGAATGGATGTGTGCATTGTACTGCGGTTCGCTCTGTCTTCCTTTATGACTATGAGACATGGCTCTTGAAACTAAGGAAGGTAGGAAAAACACGGGCTATCTTCAAGCATTAATGTTCGCATTCTACATGTCATGATGTTTAAGCAGTATAATATGGTGAGTAATATACTGAAGTTGGGTGTAAAGGGCTACTTAAGCCCATCAATGAGGTTGTGAAGTCACGTCGACTGAGATGTCTAGAATACCCATTACGACTTCCGAGTCACCGGAGTACATGTCGCGGAATGTTAGCCGAGATAAAGTTAGGCTGGAGAAGAATTAGATGCCCGTCAAATGAAAACATGGCATCAATCTATGAAACCTTTTACTGCTTGTTGACCATGTGGTTGGGAACTTTGGGATGTTAGGAAACAACGGCTTCGAACCATTGCTAATATAGCTCGAAATCGTTCTCAACAGAACAGATGCATTCACCATTTGTAGTCTCGCAGACCTATTAAATTCTATTGTTTTTCGATTTTACCATTCTCTCTCTCTCCTGAAACATTCCTGCTCATTAAACTTCTATGGAATTTCTTCTTTCTTTCATTTATCTAGACGCATGTGCTAAATGGAGTGTAGCAACTTGAAGTGGTGCGTACTTCTGTGCATAGTTCTATGTGGAAACTGAGCCAGTGTCTTTACGGGTTTTCCAGACAGCAAACTTTCATCAACAGCTGCCTTAGTTGTATACTGAAGATAATCATATGACCGGCCAGAAAGGATTAGCAAGAAGGAACGTTTGACGACGATCAAACCAAGAACGTATTACCCAACAAATATGTCGAAGGAAATGAAGATAGATCAGACAGACACTGAGGAGACTTAACTGACACCAAATGCAAGGCTCTCAAGTGGGAGCTAAGTAGGAGAAGACGACCAGTTAGGCGTCATTCCGAAGGTGACCTGCAAATTGTGTGTCATGAGGAGATGGAAGCTTACGGGCAGTCGTGAAGGTCGTTAAAAACGACTGCATAGAACAGGACGAAATAGACATGTTCTGTTGAAGGCCCATACTCCATTAGGAAAACAAGGCAATAAGAGTAATAAAACAATAGGAATCAAGATAGAAATCTTCCAGATAATCAGGAGAGAAAGTTAATCAGTAACTGAATATAATACACAGACGCGGAAAACACATTAGCACTTTTCGACTAAAGTCTGTCACAAAATCAAGTTTAACTGAAGTTACATCTAAACAATACAATAATAATATTCATTAACAAATATGCAAGATATCAAGGCTCAAATATCAAACAAATTACAGTGGGAAAAAAGCCTGTTTTCATTCAACTCGATTATGAAGTTGGAAATATTGCAGCAATAGTCAACAGAAGATTGAGTACGTCACTAGCTAGAGCCTATCCTGCAGCTAAGTTGATTCACATCCATCGGATAACATGCTCTTTGGCGCAATCAAAAGTCGACGAATACCATTCTCATGTTAACTCCAACTGTGTATACAAATTTACGTGTATCTGTGGGAGCAGTTACATTGGGAGAACAGAAAGAAGAGCACACCACCGATTTTCTGAACATGTACCGAAAAGCCTACGTCTCAAGGGAACAATCGCTTACAATAGTAACATTACCAGGCATCTTCGTGATACGGGTCTTGAGGTGGAAATCGCAAAATCCTTTAAAATTATCAATAGGCAAAAAGCTCAATTCTTCTCAAATTTGTCGAAGCGATCTCTATCAATTGCCTGAAAACCAATTTATGTGTTCACAAAGAAGCAGTTATTTCAGCAGTCTTTCCTGGCCAACCTGGTAACTGGATGTCTCCCTGTATTCCCTGTTTCAGTTGATCACATAGTCTTTGAATTTAGCCTAACCCCCCCCCCTTTGATACAGTGTAATTTTGCTTGTCTCTTGTTTCTATGATTTGAGTTGAGCTCAGTACATTGTTACCTAATTTATTAGTCAGTCATCTATCATCTTACGCATCCCTCTCTTATCACTTGCTTATTACTTGCTTAAACTTGAACTGCCGGCGTAAAAACTATATGAGCGTAATTTCTGAGCACTACTGTTCAGCTAAGTTCGGAACTTCCTGTCAACTGGACATCCTGTAATGTTTGCAAGTATGTTAAAACTTTTCTGTACATAATACTTAATAATAACAACTTTATTTAGGCTGTAAGTAGCTGATGAGAGGCCAACGAAATAAATGATGTTAGCATATTATTCTGCAAAAGCTCGTGTGGAGCTAGGTATATCGGTCGTTCGACACGAGTTTTGTCCAAGAGGGTGCAAGAACACTATCCTGCATGGTTACGAAAAGGTGGAAATGGAGCAATCAGAAGCGCGATCATTGAACATCTGGTCGATAATGATCACCCTATCTTTGTAGCCTCCGCCTTCAAAGTCATCTACAAGGCAAAGAGTAATTTACCCAAATCCCTACGTACCCGACTCATCTGTATTGCTGAAGCCATCTTTGGCTATCGAAACAGAAAAGCCAGATCTCTGTGTACAGAAAAAGTTCGTTCAACCCCTCCAACTTTCATGGTCTTAATCCCTCTATGCTAAAGTATGGTAATCCCCAATCATATTTTAGCTCTACCAATTTTTCATTTTTTCATTTTTGTCTATTCAATTTGTATACTCTTCCTTATTACGTCAATTGTTACTATTACTACTCTCACTTTTAACTGTTCCCGGTATTATTTCACATGTTCCACTTGTCATTCTAAATCAATTCCTTTTTTTCAACATTAAATTCTATGCTATTAAATTTCACACAATATTACGTAACGTTTTTATTTTATTCGATTTGTCTACTAATCTTATAATTGCACACCTTTTTCAAGTTCTATCTATCCTATGAATTATTCTATATATGACATTAATTTGCTTTGCCACTTGACATTTAACTACGATTATAATCACAAACATTGTAGTTTTAATTGCATTTCATATTAATAATATTATTATTTTATGCATTCACACCTATGATTCAATTCCCTCACCGGATATAACTTCTTAATATATATATATATATATATATATATATATATATGATTGTACAGCTTGATGATAAATTCGTTGAAAAGAGTCTCTTCGCTGAATCATTTGTTTTGATTTTCTATATGTTTTTGCTTTACTCAAATAAATATATAAGGGGGGAATACATGTATGAACACACTGATAAGTAAGACAAAGACACAATTCCACTACTCACCTTGCTTATACATATTTGGAGAACTATTGAAGAATTGAAACAGTGTACGCGTAGACCACTTGTTCAATCCATCAGATGCAATGGTTCTCAGTCTACCCTCTGGTGTACTCAAATACGATGTCAGCACACATAATAAATTAAACATTAGCTGAATGTATTGTGTTTCAATGAATAAGTATTCAAAGGCTAGACAACTATTCTGGAATTTACTTCGCCTAGACGAGTCAACATCATCACCATAATGACTAGCCGCAGTAATAGCAGAAGCATAATTACCAGTAGAGTAGGCAGTATTTGGATCGATCAGATTGACGAGTAGATCAAACGTATGACGGAGAATTTTCGACTGTATCACTTCTCGTTGTAGATTAGAATATCTGAAGTGATGAAGATGAGTGGTGAGTAGGTAGGTATGTGGGAAAAAGAGAGAGAACAGAAAAAAATAGTATCAAATTTTGAAGACAAAAACGACAACATTAAAGATTTACAATGACGTGATGTAGTGAAGACTTAATGAAATATGCTGAGAGATCATGAACTGAAATCATTACGGGAACCCCATTGAAAGAACACGGAAAGTTGTTTCTTCTTCCTAGTTTGGGACTCCTCAACAGTACGAACCCATGGCTCTCTCTCTCTGTCTCTTGTTTATAGTGATTCCATAACTGATGTCAGATCATGGTTCAACTTGAAGTCGATCAAATCCCTACTAATCAATACTGCTAAGTATCAGTGAATAACTACGAAAGTGCCTGAGATTCTAGTGGGCAGTTGTATCTAATCAGCCTCCACCACCGACGACACTGGTGGGCAGTTGCACTAAATATCACACCAATTCCCAAAGGTTAGATAGAATTCAGTCTCACTGGCTGAATGATCAACAAGCACGCCTCTTAACCTGAAGGTCATGGATTCAATCTCAAATGAGATCATCGCTCAAAGTTTGTCAGCGTTACAGTAATTTAATCATTATTAGACAGCGAGTTTCGATACTACAAGGATTCCGAGCACACAAATAAAATTAAAATTTCGATATAAGGAGCTATAAATCATTAATGACAGTTAGCACAGTTTCAGTACCACATCACAGTTCGGAACTCCACACCTAACCTACCACCAACCATAGAGAGTATACAATAGATACAGCTCAATACATATTGTATTAAAACACCCACGGATGCTTAGTGGTATATGACGCTGCTTCACACATGTACCTAAAAACACGAAGGGAATATTTTCAAGTATTGGTTTTGTAGAGAATTTTTGTTTGATTGGTAGGAGGATTTCATCATGAGCTGACATCACTTAGAGAACCACTGGAAAACCTGGACGATCAGCTGTTTCGTCCTAGTTTGGGACTCTTCAGCAGTACGCGCCCACCGGGATTCGAACCAAGGACCTTCTGGTTACAAGGCGAGCTCGTAGACCATTGAGCCACTGGGACACGATCCAATGGTACCTGAATTCTGCCGAAAAATCCCTACAAAACCATTACTTCAAAATAATCTGATGCTCACTAGCGACTGGCCCTATTCAGGCAGTTAACCTGGGGTTCTAGTGGGAAGCCGTGACCAGTAGGGTGCAGCAGGTCAAAGATGAGGCAGTAACTCATCGAAGAAGACATTGGGAAGTGGTCGCGCTATGTCGTGAATTGGAAGAAGTTAGAATTCAAGAACCATTGGATCGGGTCCCAGTGGCTCAATGGTCTACGAGCTCGCCTTGTAACCAGAAGGTCCTGGGTTCGAACCCCGGTGGGTGCGTACTGATGAGGAGTCCCAACTAGACGAACACTGATCGTCAGTACTCCCATGTTTTCCAGTAGTTCTCTAAGTGATGTCAGCTCGTGATGAAATCCTCCAACCAATCAAACGACAGGAATAAACTAAGAAAACGGGTTAACGTCATTTCCTAAGTTTTACAAGTCAGTTAGACAAAGAGGAACTTATTGCATAATTCTATCCCATAGTTGAACAAAAACGATTATCTGATTCATGCTCCCCCTCCACATTCCAATGTAGTGTTGTATTGATATACCCAAATATTTTCAAAAATTGAATTAGTTAATTAATGAAGGCAAAGAAGACGTCAACTCAAAGATTCTTGGGATTTCTCCATAAGAATGTGTGAAGACCAATTGCGTGTAACAGATCTTATATGTACACCAGGCTACGGGACATACTCATTGTGTGAGGTCTAACGACACTACCGAAATACCCGCATAGAAATAGGTGCAGCGGGACTCGAATCCACGACTCATTGGCGTGAAAGCCAAGCCACTTAAGCCAGCCGCCAATGAGGCAAATCTGCACTCAAAACCCTGAGAATAGAGGTAAGTTTAGAGTAGACCTAAAGTTTGAAAATTGATTACTAAAGGTTATTAATATAAACAGACAAATCTGAATACATTTTGGCATAACTTACTCATCACTACAGGATACACTTAGTGAACTGTTACACGCTTGCATAATTAAAGTGAATAAATTAATAATATTAGTTTCTGATGCTATCCATTGGATAAGCCAATCAGAATTCAGGGAATTCGATGAAACAGTATTAGTATGATTGTTGTTGTTATTAAAATCATCAATAGTGTTATGATTATGATTTATGTAAGACCAATCTTGTCGACTTAAAAAGGTTACTAACGAACTGCTCAACTGTGTTTCATTGCACATTAATGAACTGGAATGAGTATAGAGGAAATTGAACACTTGCTGATTAATTGACATATGAGTAGGACCTGGAAAAGAGAGATCGGTAGAAGAATGAATTTTTAATATATATCGGATTTATTTGATTGCAAATTTCATTACAAACCAGAAACATCAATTAGAGAATCACTGAAAATCAGTGTGCATACGATTATCCTTTCGGCCTAATTTGAAATACTTCAACAGTCTGCGCCTTCACCCTTGCTTGACCTTATCAGCATCATGAATCAACTCTAGGGGAAGACCTTCACGTTACCAGGTCAGTAGTCCCTTGACTAACTGGTAACGACTAGTGGCGTCCGTCAAGGATGCCCATTATCCCCATTCCTATCCAAATTCATCATAGACGTACTAATGGACTTAACCGTAACACACTTCAGCGACTCAGGGATTGACTTGCTACCAGGGAATAATCTCGTCGACTTAGAATATGCAGATGATATAGTCCTTCTAGGAGAGGATGCTGACAAAATGAAGAGTCTTCTGAGCACCTTGAGCTGCAGTCTTCGTATTTTGGCATGCGATTCGCCCCTGTAAAATGTACTTACTTACTTTACTTTACTTCGGCTATCTCCTACGGAAGGATGAGCCGGCTTCATGAACATCTCGAATCATCGCTGCCCAGGCGCGGCGATCTGTTGCAAGGTTTTGCGACAAGGTAAGAGAGTTCATGAAGTTTCATGGGAATTTGGTACGAGTGATGTCCCCAGAATCGCTCGGCCTTTTGTTTGAGAGTGCAGCTCTAGCCTTTACACAACCAAGTGTGACCTACAAGGCAGTAGGAGTGGAGTAGGGAGTCCACTATCCATTGGCAGCCAGTGACCGGAGTTCGGTTCATACGCCTTTTTGAATGGGGCCAGACATCCAGGACATCCAACAAGCCCTTTGTCCATACGTCTTCCGGTGAGCTCCAGTGAGCTTCACACGCCAGTCGTTGGAGGTTTGGAATCAGGGTTTAGCCATCTCCCCTAGACTGTCATCCAATGGACAGTCAACCCAGTGAAGAGCGCCGGGCATCCGCTTTTGCCCTCTCACTTTGGTGAAAAACACCTCCGCCACGTGAAGGCAGTGAGTAGGACTTCCTCAGGAGAGGCTATGTAAGACGCCCGGTCATATGGGAGCATTTCAAGAGGTGTGCGGAGGGGTGGCCAACCCGCAGCGCAAGGCACCCACCCCCGACCATCCTGAGGCTTTGGAGGCCCTGTAAAATGTAAGATGATGCTGCAGGATTGGACTTCACCGACCCCTAGATTAGAAATAGGATGTGAAGTGGTAGAGCACGTTGACCGCTTCAATTACTTGGGAAGTACCATCAGCCCCAACGGGTTGATCTCCGACGAAATCTCACCACGAATACAGAGGGCTAGTTTCGCATATGCCAGTTTACGCCGTCTCTGGCGTAGACGTCATATCCGACTATCGACCAAAGGGCGTGTGTACTGCTCACCAGTCCGCTCCGTCCTCCTTCATGACTGTGAGACCTGCCCATTGAGAGCAGAAGACATGAAAAGATTAGCTGTCTTTGATCATAGGTGTCTGCGTTCTATCTCCCGCGTGAAGTGGTATAATAAGGTGAGCAATATTGAGGTTAGGCGTCGAGTGCTAGGTAAGGAGGGGAAATCAGTCGACGAGACTATGAAATTACATCGACTGAGATGGTTAGGACATGTACTACGTTTGCCTAGTCATCGCCTTCCTCAACAACGGGCAACGTTAGCTGATATAGGGTCAGACTGGAAAAGAGCTAGCAGCGGTCAAACGAAAACATGGCACCAGTCATTGAAATCAACAACAGTTAGCTTAAGCTACGTAGGAAGGTGTAGACTGGCTTCCTGGTTGGGGTCCTCTGGACGGTAAAAACCAATGGTTGGAAACAATTGGTGACATGGCTCAAAATCGTTCTCAATGGCTAGCGCAGATGCATCCACTCCTTGTGACTTATGTTCCTTCGTTATTACTATTCCTTTATCTCACACCTCTGTTTACTGTCTCTAGTATGCATTTCTCCTACTTTCTTCTCTTGCTTTGTGTGCTACTTGGAGTGTGGTGACTTGAACTGCCGCACATATGTGCAAAGTTCTATGTTGAAAACAGACAGACAGATAGCCAATCATAGGGTCAGAATTCAATAATCCGGGAATTCTAACTTCTGTTAATTCGTGGTAGATCTCTACCATCAACCAATGCCACACAGATGACTTGTCCAGTGCTCCCTAAATTTCAATGATTCTGTATTATGACTGTTAGATAGACATAATTTTCCAGATGTCATTTTTACTTGTCTGTCTGTATTTCTTTCAACCCACTTATGACCTTTGAAATCCGATTGGTTGTTGACTTTTAATTAATAAATGACATGAGTGTCTCTCATGGTTATTTTTAAAGTATATATATTTATACGCAAGTGCAGCCAATCATTTTAGATGTTTGACACGAGACAGTAAAAAATCTCCACGTTAACAGACACTTCTCTCCTTGTCGTATCATATCGCGTTGCTGTTGCTAATATTGGTTATATGATTACGATAACTGAACTACTCAGTAATTCGCGACAGATAATTCATGTAAAATCATTACATTATACAAACACAGACCTGGTTCATTTTGGGCACCAAAAGATAAACATCACAAAAAATCTCGTAGTTTGTACCAGGGCTGGGATATTGCATGGATAGGTGGTTGTCTTAAAGAACCATCCACTCTCAGAGTCTTTGACCTCAAGTCTGATCTACAAGGCGGTGGAGCAGCGTTAGTAGCTATGTTCCCTTCGCTGATAGTGATCAAAACAGGTTAATACGTCATTGCATCCTTTCTGATTCTGGAGAACGTGTACACCATAGGTTTAGAATCATGATTTTCCAGCTTCCCTAGGTATACCGGCATATCCACCAGTCCAGTTGTAAGCGCAAGACGTCCACATTCGCCCTTCCACTTTTAACAGAAACACCCTCGTCAAGTGAAGGCGCTGAATACGACTTGTAAGGCAAGATTTCATTTACCAGAATATATGCAACAATTATTCTGTAAGGGCTTAATAATGCTAACCAGTACTTAGACTGAAGATAGTCAGGTTGAATTCGAAGCCGGAAGGCATTCACAGATAGCCGAATGCTTCTGTCATATCTCTATCTCTTACACAGAGTCATATTAATCCAACTTTTAGCAGTTGGCAGGAAAAAAATTAAGGGAATGATACGAACGAAGATAACGGAGTCAGCAAAATATAGCCACATATGGCCAACTGCTGTTATTATTATTATTCCCTTGGGTTCCGAGGGGAATATGGGGATTCAACAACACATCCCCACCTTGTTCTATCTTTTGCTGTCCTCTTCAGCCGGATCCACGATTGCCCAGTGCAAGTTTCTGACCCATATAGTCGAAGTGCGTCGGTGGCATAGCGGTTAGGACGCTCGCCGACCATGCACATGGTCCGGGGTTCGATCCCCGGTCGACGCACTCCTTTACCTCGCTAAGCCAGAAATAATGCTGGTGAAGATGAAAGGTTGGGCATGAGGCTAGCAATCCATCCTGTAAAATAATAAACGCTGCTACCGAAACTTCAAGCCAAAAGCTTGAAGCCTTATGTTCCACTGGGGAACGTGAAGGAAAAAAAATAGTCGAAGAACTGACTTAACATTGATGTTGAAAATCCTAATCTTGTTCTTTATGCTTGCTGGAGTGCAGAAGATTGAAAAATTGATCCTGTTTGTCCAATTTTGGGTTTGACATCTTCATCCGTTTTGCCTGCTTCCTAGATAAGCGAAGGAAGTAACCTCTGTCATCTCTCTCTCCGGCTGACGGTGATTGATGCTGGTTGTTACTGCTGTTGGTTGGTTATCTTCATCACATCAATCTTCTCTAGGTCCACCTGGAGTCCTGAGGGTCAGCTATTGATAGATCATCAATTTACTATTTACCGTCTATGCTTTAGAATAAGAGCGAGTGTAGTACCATAAATTTAAGGGAAATACAACACTCAATTACAGGGAAAAGACCTTGCATGTATGAGGCCAGGAGTCAGATTATGTGTGAAGGATCATGATAATACTATCGGTGACCAGACTGACATAGATGAAGTAGGATTCGAACTCAGTACCCAATGCCTGGAATCAAAGTGTCTTAGACAGTCAAACACAAATAGTGATCATATCTACTTAAAAAAAAATGAAGCAATAATACTATGCAGAGTAAAACAACAGAACAAACTCAATTACTTGGAAGATGAAAACGAAAATTTTAAAAAAGGTGGTCGTGGTGGGGGTAACAATGACTCACCTAATGAATTCAATACAATTTTACAAAGTCTCAAAGTAGGCATCAATGCAGCAGCCCAGGTGACTTTCAACTCCTCATCTTCATCACTTTGCAGTTCTTGATGATACTGACAACCAGACTCTACACTGCCTTTACCAATAATGATTAATTCAATGATATCCCAATAAATATTGTAATTATTATTACCATTATCAGTTTTACTACTAACACTCAGTGGTGATAAACAATGTAGATGTTGACATAATGCATGGAACCAGTTGAAATCAGCTGTGATGGATTCATCGACATGATTTGAATAATTCATAAAATTACTACTATTATTATTGGTAGTAGTATTGTTAATATCTTCACAAATATATAAATTATCTAAGCCATAAGCATAACAATTGGCTAAATTGGATAAGGAGAATAATTCACAATCGGCTAAACGGTTCAATACACCATGATTTGCTAAAACCTGGAGAGAGAGAGAGAAAACAGAAGAAGAAAAATTGACAGGCATAACATGGTGAATAAATGAATAACTATTCGAGCATAAAATTGTTTAGATCTTCTCCTAATTTGATAATAGAACGACGATTTCATGAAGGATTTCATCATGAGCTGACATCAGTTAGAGAACCACTGGAAAACCTGCAGGGAGTACTGGACGATCAGCTGTTTCGTCCTAGTTTGGGACTCTTCATCAGTACGCACCCACCGGGATTCGAACCCAGAACCTTCTGGTTACAGGGCTAGCTCCTGGGTTCGAACCTTAGCGGTGGGTGCATACCAATGAAGAGTCTCAAAATAGAACGAAACAGCTGCCCAGTATTCCCTGCAGGTTTTCCAGTGGTTCTCTAACTGATGTCAGCTCATGATGAAATCCTCCAAGTAATCAAACAAAATCCCTACAAAACCAATACTTGAACGACAATTTCTTGAAATAAACTTTATAGGTGAAGTAATCTCAAGAGATTTCAGAAATATATTATTTGAAACTAAAACCAACAAATTGGCTGAAGAAGTAGGCGGCGAAGACAAGACACCCCTGGTGAACACAGAGAAGACGAAGATGATGAAGATAACCAACCAACCAACCAACAACGACCAACACCAATCACCACCAACGGAAGAAATTTGACAGAAGTTACTTTCTTCACTTCTCCGACTAGGAAGCATTGTTTCAACCACAGAGCAAAACGGATGAAGATATCAAAGCCAAGCAGAATCGGAAAGGCAAGACAAACCTTCATTCTTTCTGGAATTATTTTTGAAATCTTCTTCACTCAACAACATAAAGAACATGATTAAAATTTTCAACACAGATGTGAAGTCAGTTCTTCTACTACATGGGTCAGAAACTTCGCGCATTAAGAAAAGCATTTCCAGCTTAGGAGGACTGCAGAGAGAATTAGACAAAATGGAAACGTGCTGTTGTTGAAGCCCTAAGTTTCACTCGGGATCCAAGGAAAACAACAGTAACCAATAATATTTGGCTCTAATGATTATTATTACCCCAATAATCATTCTTTGAGACCTGAGTGGAACATCTCCAACTGGAGCCATGACAGTCAACAAGCTCTCATTTCCTCCTCACACGATCTTTCTTCCTGTGAAACTAGGCCCAACTTGTGCCTCTCATTGGCGTTCCACTCAAAGGAGGAACCACCACATGGTGAGTGACATCACTCACGAGGTCTCATCAGCACACCTATATTTGATTCTGCATATATGTTGGGTAATAGACTGTTAACAGGTTCTCTGCCAGAGTTTGTTGTTGCCAGCCATCTGATCTTTAGTATTCAGCGAAGATGAGTGTTCCACAAATTTTGTCGTAGCCTGATAGAAATGCTTTCAATGACGCGTGTGCTATCTATTTAAACCATATAAAGGTACTGACTTGACATTAATTGTGACAATTGACATCTTGTTCCCTGTGCTAAGTACTTTAGCTCTGCACACTGATTTCAGAGTAGTGAACGCCTTGTCTGCGTTTCCGATTGCGGTATCCTCATGTGTGCCAAGCGCGTAAAGAACACAAACCCCCCCATAGATTTCTCCCGTAAGTGCTGAGATTCATGCTTGCTGTTGTCAGCTGGGCACCTTCATCACCTCTATTTACTCTACACTTCATGTGTTCATATCAAATTAATAAGGATGGTGAAGAATACCCTTTGGTAAAAGCTACGACAAGGTTTCATACTTAACCTGTTCCACACCACATTATATTATTTTAATAGTAGAAAGGGTAACCAGTGTTATACGATGTTTCAAGGTAATTGTACAATTTCTCGAATGCACAATTAAGCGACAAAGTTATACAAATTAAACACCATATGTACTGTTCGAGGACATTTTGATACAGACAACTCCTTATCCAGGTAATCATTAAGGTAAGGACTGATTTTAACCCAAAATATGCATATGTTGGGCAATCACAAGGGGCACCTTAACCACAGATTCAGATTATTCAGATTTTTAAAAATCATTATCAAGGCTACATAAAAAGCGAAAGTATGTGTGAAAAGCGCTGGAATGACACATGTGATAACAACAACACTCAAACAAACAATCGACGCTGTTCACCTACAAATTACATGGAACAAATACTGTCATCAAAAAAAAAAAAACACTGAGTCATTTAACTATGAAACCAGGTGAACTGAAACTCGAATTCATACACCGGCATTCTCAAGCAACCATGTGTATCAACACAATTTAAACAATCAGAAACACACAAAAAAGGCGAAGTTTTACCTTTGCACCAGCACGTGAACTGCCTATCCTGCACAGAAGTGACATTTTCGATTGATACAACAAGAATGCAGAGACAGTATTCGGTGTATACTTGTCATTCATCACATCGACTGGTAGCTGCTTGTTCAACTGTGGATCATCATGTATTCTAGCATCAGTAGATGTTAAGAATTTAGTGATTGCATTTAAATCATCAACTATAGTCTCCAAGAGATGCTATGAAGGGAAGAAAGAAAGAAAACTGACAACAATTCACGGAGCATATACATAATTGATTATTTATTAACATAATTTTTTATCAATACGTTTAAAACTTCGGCACCGATGTGGTAGCACGTAAATCCGTATTAATCTGTAACAACATGGCTGACTGGCAGAACTTTTGCACAGATGTGTGCAGCAGTTCGAGTTGCCACACTACCTTCTTGTGATACACAAAGCAAAAGAAGAGAGTAAACATAAAATCAAAAAAATAATAAACCGAGCTGAGGATGAGCGGCAACACTGCGTGTTCGACCATCGATGTCTCCGCAGGATTGCTTGCGTTCGATGGCATCATCGCGTGAGTAATTCTGAGGTTCGGCGGCGTGTGTTTGAACACAGTGGAGATCACCATTCATTGAGTGTCGTCATCTGGAAACACCGGCTCCGGTGACTTGGACATGTGCTGCGAATGTCATCCCAGAGGCTTCCGTACAGGTCTCTGTTCGCTAGCCCTGGGACGGGATGGAAAAGGCGGAGGGGTGGTCAGTCCATGACGTGGCGTCGTGGGATGAAGGATATTTGTGCTAGATTAGCATCGGTTGGTGCGTCACGACTCCCTGGTTGGGGTCCGCGAGATAGCTCGAATCAATGGCTCGAAACGTTATCGGATATGGCCAAGAATCGTAATCAATGGCGAACGTGTTGCAATTTCCTTCTTTCTTCCCTTCGTGATGATAGTTAACGAATACTGTTTGAACTTGTTAAACATGACTGTTTTCCTTCTTGATGAAGTTCTTTATCCGTTTTCTACTTATATTTTTACTTTTAATCTATGTTGTTTTATTATTATTGTGTGGCGCATCTTTCTTGGTGCCATATTGTACCAAGTGTTTTCTGCGTTTAAATAATAATTGAATAAATATGTGGTTAGCAGGCTTTTCACCATTTGAACGGCCGACTCGCTCCTCACTTTTGAAACCCTAATTGTGTGTTGTTTTATTTTATTTTACTTATCATTTCTTCAACTTCAGATACACTAAATTGAATGGTGGTAGCATGTGCTCATATGACCAGACTGTTCAGAATACATCACGAAAATGCAACACACACGCACACCTTGAAGACAAATGCCACCACCTTTGAAAGTATCAGTTACTATCCAAATTTAGTAAAAGGAAAAAAATGTTGCAAAATATAAAATTAAACAAACAAACAAATAAAAAATAACAAAAAAAACTTACCTCAATAGTTCCTTGACTATCAATTTGTGAAATCAACTGGTGTGAACAACGATCAAATGAAATTAATAACTCCAATAAACTCATTGCAGCCATTTGTGTGATTGTATGCCCATGGATTAAATCAGTCATTAGCATAGAATGCAGCTGACTTAAATCAGAATCGCTCATTTTATCAGAATGTAAAGTATCCGGCATGGAAGAAGTAACAGAGGAAGAAGAAGAAGAAAGGGACTGAAAACTGAGAAGCATTCAGATAATGATTTACAATCAGAAATTGTCGTTGTATCTTCTTTTAACAACTGACCTGAAACAAAAAATGATCGAGATAAAGAATGCAAAAATATAAAGTTCCTTTGTGAGGCGATTAAACTTGGTTATAACTCAAAGCGCGCACACACACACACACACATACATAAATACATGCATCACTTAGTTACCCCCCATGTATGCACAATCAGTACTTGTCAGGATATCTTAGGTTCACTGAAAGATATAGAAATTCGACTTTCACCCATTGAATAATGAGAATGAAAGCTATACACACAAGGAGGGGGGAGGGGTTGTGCAACAACTCAGAGCAGTATCCAATGCAATCATGTGTCAAACACATGAAAATGCATTAGCTGCTGCTGCTGCTGAATGTCACTTTTTTTAATTTATTCCTAACTGCTTTGAATTCATTGGTACTGTTGTACTTACTGTTATTTGGACAATAGTAAACCAGTAGTGGAATTCAGCATAAGCACTTCAACCTTTCTAGAATTCGTCAGCTGGATACGCCAGCAATCCTCACTGTGGTATGAGTCCCTCTACTGGGATACACTCGTAGCACCTATCGTTCCAAGAGCTATCATCATCCACTAAGCTATGTGCGTCACGAGTTGATAATGATTATGAACAATAAGTGTGTATTTAACAAATAAATTTACTTTACGATGGAATCTTAACCACCATTTCTCCACCACACGTCAATGATCCAATACAGCTACTATTGTTCTATTCATGTTAACAACTAGCACTAATCATATCTATGTTGGAAAAAACAGAAGGAATTCCCAACATCAACTAAAAGTAGCCGTGACAAGTAGGGTGCAGCAGGTTGAAGGTGAGGCGGCAGTAACTCATCGCAGAAGACATTGAAAAGTGGTCGGGCTATATATCATGAATTAGCAAAAGTTAGAATTCATGGGCAGTTGGATCGGGTCCCAGGGTCTTAATGGTCTACGAGCTCGCCTTGTAACCAGAAGGTCTTGGGTTCGAACCCCAGTGGGTGCGTAGTGCTGAAGAGTCCCAAACTAGGACGAAACAGCTGATCGTCCAGTACTCCCAGGTTTTCCAGTGGTTCTCTATCTGATGTCAGCTTATGATGAATCTCCAACCAATTAAACAAAAAAATAGCTAAAATACTACTAATGTTCATAATAACAATAATAATAATAATAATATATGTGCCCTCTTTACTCACTCAGACTACGACAAAAACGTATCACGTAACATAGGCTTCCATAATAATTGGCACGCATACGTTGTGTTGATGTTTCTAATGTCGGAAACAAAAGAAAGAGAGAAAAAAGAAACGTAACGTAAACATAAAATGTTTAAAAAGTGGTGGAGACAAGGGGTTAACGGTGTAGAAACTATTTGACCGTTCATCAAGAGACGTAATAATGGAAATGTTAACTAACTAATATACAAGCACAAAAATGTATTAAACTGTGTTACTTTGAATGGTGACCCTTTTTTCTCACAATGTGCACTCTACACATTTCGAATGGTGAAATTCCACCATTGCTTTGCTTTGGATAACGCAAGTTATTCAGATCACAATATGTGTGAGATCTGCTTGATAACATATAAAATGGTAATCAAGAAAGCAAGCGTATTTGATATGAGTGGTATGCAATCATCATAAGTAGATTGCAAATAGTGAATTAAATCTATAGTATCTATCACCAGTTCGTCAAAGCAACCAACTAGCTGGAAATCGGGTGTGGTTCGAACACTGTTTCGGCTGTCTGAGCTGAGTCAAATCTGGTGGTACACATTGATGACGAACTCGACGACGCCAAACGAACGAAATGGTCATCGAGTATTCAGACGATCTCAATCTGGCTAGGAGGGCACTACCACTTGGTTGATGTGAGGGGTATACAAGTACCAATCTCAATCAATCAGTAGTATATGCAATTATGCTTGCTTTCTTGGTGACTCTTTTTCATAAATAAATGGACAATTTTCATGGTTATAACAACCAATCTGCTTCCCAACTGATTTTATAACAATTTCATTTTTTCATTGGTTGGAGGATTTCATCATTAGCTGACATCAGTTAGAGAACTATTGGAAAGCCTGCAGGGAGTACTGGACGTCTGTTTCGTCCTAGTTTGGGGCCCTTCATCGGTACGCACCCACCGGGGTTCGAACCCAGGACCAATCAAACAATAATCCCGACAAAAACGAACACTTGAGGATTCATCTGATGCTTACTAGCGACTGATACTATTCAGGCAGCTACCTGGGTTCTAGTGGGAACCCATGACCAGTAGGGTACTGCAGGTTGAAGGTGAGGCAGTAACACTGCGAAGTGGCCGCGCTATGTCATCAATTGGCAGAAGTTAGAATTCATGGGCAATTGGATTGGATCCCAGTGGATTAATGGTACACGCACTAGCCTTGTAACCACAAGGTCCTGGGTTCGAACCACCTGTGAAGGGTGCGTACTGATGAAGAGTCCCATACTAGGACGAAATAGCTTTCCGGTACTCTCTGCAGGTTTTCCAATGGTTCTCCAACTGATGTCAGCTCATGATGAAATCTTCCAACCAATCAAGCAATAATCCCTACAAAAACAAATACTTCAAAATTTCATTTTTGGAAATGAAACTGATACAGCTGTTTTTAGATATTATAGTTTTTGGTGGACATATGAAACACCTGACTTATATGCATTACAAGCTCGTTGAAATAGCCAGCGAGAATTCGGATGATTCAGACTGGATCTAAACAACACAGACAGCATTGATAAGCTCAAACCAACACACCAGCAAAAACAGCCACACAATGCAACTAACAATATTTCCGTGTGTATTTCATGAACAGTCGGCGAGACTGTGAAGTTACATCGACTGAGATGGTTAGGATATGTGTTACGCATGCATGCCTAGTCATCGCCTTCCTCGACAATGGGCAATGTTAGCTGATATAGGGCCAGGCTGGAAAAGAGCTAGCGGCGGTCAAACCAAAACATGGCACCAGTCAATGAAATCTACAACAGTTAGTTAGTTTAAGCCACGTAGGAAGGTGTAGACTTCCTGGTTGGGGTCCTCGGGACGGTAAAAACCAATGGTTGGAAACAATTGGCGACATGGCTCAAAATCGTTCTCAATAGCTGGTGCAGATGCATCCACTCCTTGTGACTTATGATTTCCAATGAAACTGTTTTGTTCTTCGTTATTACTATTCCTTTGTCTCACACTTCTGTTTACTGTCTATATTATGCATTTCTCCTACTTTCTTCTCTCTCTTTGTGTGCTACATGGAGTGTGGCGACTTGAACTGCCACACATATGTGCAAAGTTCTATGTCGAAAAGAGACAGACAGACAGTGTAATTGATGAACAGTGACTGATAATGAGATACATACAGAAGATAAAATTACATTTATTTACATAGCACGACTTATAATAAGGCTTAGAAACAAAAGCAAAAGTATTGTAAATGTCGTTTGAAATTTTGACAATCAGCAGCCAGTCATTGGCTGTTTGGCTTTTGGAACACAAAACTTTTCACCAACAGTGTTTCCACATAATAATCGAAGGAAACTGGAATACCTCCGTGATTAGCTCAAGAAGCTTAACACTAGGGGTAAAAAAGGTTTTGATTCAAAAATCATGCACATAACACTGAACCCTTTCTAGGAGAAAACAACAACTAACAAAATTTAGTATTCACTTCAGCACACTTAGAAATACTTCCAAAATTCCAAACCTAAATCATGTAAGGGAACTAACTCAATAACTCGGTAATTTCCTGAGTTAGCTGACACACACGCCTCTTTACCTAAAATCGAAGTACAACTGAAAGCGGCATATAATGAAAGGTAGTCAAAACAACAAAACGTCAACCTATGTAATCACTCACTGTTTACCTGATCACACATATAGAAGTGCAGGTTATAATCTGCTCTGAGTTCATGCATCTACCGTAGACTGTGTTTGGATAATCAAAGTGGATAAAAAAACGCGCAAAATCGATTACAGCAGTGCATCATTCTCCTAATTACAATATTTCTCATAGCTATGTGATACATATAACATGACTATGAGCAATAAATTGTGCTGAAAACACCATCCGGTTACTAACATTCACTCACTCATTATGTGTTATATATCAAATAAAAATATCTAATATGGAATAATTAAGTATATTTCCTTTCTGCGTTTCAAAGTTTCTGTAGCAATCAAGTTGAATCGACCAAGAACCTATACACCCAACAGATATACAGAATAAAATGCAGATAGACTAAACATACACTGAAGCTCCCTCAGAGTGGAACACAAGCTTCGATTTCAGGGTGATATGGAGGAGATCGTGTGGAAAGGAAATGAGAACCTGTTGGCAATGATATAGCCAGCTTAAAAAGACAGAAGAGAACAGAGTGACTGACATTACTGACTGAATTTCAACATAGAACTTCACACACAGGAGTGTAGTAGTTCAGCTTGCCACACTCCATTTAACACGCGAAAAGTAGAAAAACGAGAGAAAATTAGATTAAGAAGCAGTACGAAAATTCTCATTTACGCGCATTAAGACAAAAAAGCCAACAAATTGAGTGAAGAAATATATATTCTCTTCCGATTAGTCGCTCACCATCGGCTCTACACTAATATATATAGTTGTTTTGCATCAAAATTGGTACCAATCATGTGGTTATACTTTAGTCCATGAGTCCATATATGTAACTGTAGAACCGATGATGAGGAACTAATTGAAAAGCAATTCTTCGCTCAATTTGTTACTTTTTTCTAAAAAGTAATAATAATAATAACTATTATTATAAGCAGAAATGTGTGGCAGGGGGGCGGTGGATTGAAAAATAGGGACATGGAAGAACATGACGGTCTAGTGGGTACATGGTTGCACGGAAAGTGGAAGTTTCTCCACCACTGTGAACAATTTTGACCCATATAAGCAGTAGCCACAAGCTATTGGCTCTTAACATCCCGAAGACCCTAACCACACAATGTAGTGCACCACCCTACATGGCTCAAAGACTTTACGGTCTAATTCCAGTCTTCAGTTTGACCACTCCTAACTCTTGTCCAACCTGGTCTTATATTGGCTAACATTGCTCGTCGAAGAAAGCGATGGCTCGACATGTGCAATACATACATCCCAGGAGACATAATGCAAATCTTTTTGTGGGATGCAGACGTCTTGATGAAGCACAAGGGACGAATAGTAATAATAATAATAATAACATGGGATTATATTCCTCTTCTACAAAAAAAATACAACTTACTAGTTCTAACAATTGATTTAATCAATAATTCCATAATTGAAACGAGTAAAGGTGACCACTGTCTATTGTAAGTGCATTTAGTTATTCCAGTTGAATCTAATAATGAACTATTAGATTTTGCGGAGATAACTGCCGATTGACAATGTAGAAATGAGCATAGTGAGAGAGAAGTACCACTAGCTAACAGCCGAATAGTCTGTGGGACTTCTTTTATTGAACATATCTATAAAAAAAATTTTAAATAAAATAATACAAGTAATGCAAAAACAAAAAACAAATGAAATATTTTCGAGTGTTCCTTGCAGCATTTGATTAGTTACAGATTTGATCAAGAAAACGAACCCTCTAACTAGAAGATCCTGGGTTTAAACCTCGATGGGTGAGTTACTATATATGTTCAACTTCAACACTATGGTAGTAAGTAATTCCATATTAATTTGTTTATTAGATATATCACACAGTGATGAAACGGTATTATTTACTGGATGACGTTCCGAACAAAATTTATTGTTCATAATCGTTTCTATTATTATTATTACTATCAGTACTATCATTATTCATTTTATTTTTACATTTCCCTACACACTTTCTGACTAATTTATCAGGGTAATTATTAAGCTTCAAAGCTTCTCTTATATGCCTCACTTCCTGTCTTAGATTTTCCTTGGTACTACTTAGTTTTTGTGCTCCATACAAAGAAGGAACGTCGGATACCTTACGCAGAATTCTTAACAATGCTGGCAGGAATAGAAGTGGCATTCAAACCCACAAACTCAATTAGAAACAAGCTTTGTCGGTTAAAGGATCCTGTGGAGCCGTTAAAACAAAACAATTTAGTTTATGCAATACCCTGTCTGCAATGATTGTCAGGTAAAATACATAGGTCAAAGTAGTAGAACAGGGGGAGTTAGATTAACCGAGCATAAAAACCTAGCAAAATCTAGATTAGTTGACCCGAATAAGATAAGAAGTCTAGAGAATAGTTCAGCCATAGATAGCACTACATGCAATTACACACAACTATACAATGGGATGGGATAAGATGACAGTTTTAAAATCTAATGTAACAGCAGGGTGGAGGGAGAGATTGATAACAGAAGCTTTATTTATCGAATCAGCTGCAAATACGTGTAATAGGAATGATTCAACATCTGTCCACCCAGATATCTGGAAAATTCTACTACCCCAACGACGACTAATAGGAGGGAACAAAGAAAACTATAGGGCTCAAGTTTCGAATTCGTGTGATTATAATTGATGAAATGATTATGAACAATAAATTTTGTTCGGAACGTTATCCAGTAAATAATACTGTCTCACTGTGTGATACATCTAATAAGCAAACTAATATGAAGGTGGGTGAGTTAGGCTAAAGAGTCCCAAACTTGGATGGGACAGTTGTTCAGGACACCTTGTATTCCAATGGTCATTTAACTGCTGTCAGCTGGTGATCAAACCTGAGCGTCGTTGGCAGAGTGGTTGGGACGCTCGCCGATCATGCACATGGTCCGGGGTTCGATCCCCTGCCGACGCACACCTGATATCAATGGTCGGCCGGCAAAATTTGGGCTACTGATATCACATGCTGAAAATTCCATACTTGTACCAGAAAAGTACTGTGTGGTTTCAAGCTATAATCAAAATCAAATTAAAATTTAGAATAATCAGTAGGCCTAAAATATACACCTACTCGTGAGATTCTTTTACACACTACTTAAGAGAGATACAGGTCCCTGACATTCAGTCAATCGACATGACATCTGAACAGAGAAAGTTCAGGTGAACCTGAATAACCATATGTTTTCATCTGACATCAATCCCTTTTTTTCTAGACTATCTTCACTACCACCAGCATAGCACGTTGAAGTAGATGATAGCTAAGCATGCACAACACATGTTCAATACGCCTAGGACGACAAGGACATATATAACTTCGACTGATCACCCATTTTATCAAAGACTACACATTTAACTTCTAATATAAGCATCAGATGGTTTCACTCGGAGTGGAAAATCATACAAAGGCTGCAATATGACTAGTTCATAGGTGGTTCAATGGCAGAGAATACTCACCAACCCCCTGAGATGGTTCACGTTGCATTCCAAGCCGACGAACTAATCAACCTAACATAGTCGAAGGTGAATATAGTTAAGAGGGATGGTTGGGTGTGAGGTCAGCAGCAACTCCACCCCATAGAAGAAAACACCACTGCTACTGAAACTTCAAAAGAACTCAAGCTTGAAGCCCTATTTTCCAATTTTGGAACGCGAAGTAATGATAAAAATATGACTAAACATAATAAATGAAAAGAATGGAGTATATCCTTCAATAAAATGATACATTACCGATATTTAAACCTTAATACCATACTAACTAAGCTGATTTTGAAAAAAGCGGATAGATAACATTATCAAACGTGTCCATTGACGTGGCGATACCATCCATTTCTGCTGGTCATTTTGAGTGGAAGAAGCTTTATATAAATTGACATCTATAAATGTTTACTCGAATTCGATAGTTACGTTATGTATCCGTGAGGAAAGTGTGATAATCTCCATTTAGAAATCATAGAAAACATCATGACCCCCAAACATGAAACATTTTTGATGGTTTAGACATGTACTATGCATGTCGTTCCTTTCTACTGAAATGAGGGATAGTGGGCATGGAAGACAAATCCAAGGAATATCAGCTTCGAATCAAGTGTGTAATTGTAGTACATAAACACCTGTTGACATGTTCTGACTTTAAAAGTGTTTGAATAATAATCCTCAATGATAAAAGAGTTACACACAATTCAGTGATGTAGGCTGTAGTATTTCTACAATTAAGATCAAGTTCTTCTCCTTGATCATCTCCAAGCTTAATAATGACTACCACTCCGTTGAAATCTTCGTTAACTTAATCTATGTCCGTGTGATTGAATATTTATATTGAAGGCTCCTACAACAGTGTTTATCACAACGTATATTCCACATACTTTTATTATCGTAGCGTTTGTAAAGTAATTCTCAAAGAGCTTTACATATTTGAAGACGTCAGTAATAAGCATCAAGTAAATACCTCGGTGTTTTTTTTACTTCGGCTATCTCCTACGGGAGGATGAGCCGGCTTCATGAACATCTCGAATCATCGCTGCCCAGGAGCGGCGATCTGACGCAACGTTTTGCGACAGGGTTATCCAATTAAGACAGTTCACGAAGTTTCATGGGAATTTGGTACGAGTGATGTCCCCAGAATCGCTCGGCCTTTTATTTGAGAGTGCAGCTCTAGCCTTTACACAACCAAGTGTGACCTACAAGGCAGTAGGGGTGGAGTAGGGAGTCCACTATCCATTGGCAACCGGTGACCGGAGTTCGGTTCATACGCCTTTTTGAATGGGGCCAGACATCCAGGACATCCAACAAGCCCTTTGTCCATACGTCTTCCGGTGAGCTCCAGTGAGCTTCATACGCCAGTCGTTGGAGGTTTGGAATCAGGGTTTAGCCATCTCCCCTAGACTGTCATCCAATGGACAGTCAACCCGGTGAAGAGCGCCGGGCATCCGCTTTTGCCTTCTCACTTTGGTGAAAAACACCTCCGCCACGTGAAGGCAGTGAGTAGGACTTTCTCAGGAGAGGCTATGTAAGACGCCCGGTCATATGGGAGCATTTCAAGAGGTGTGCGGAGGGGTGGCCAACCCGCAGCGCAAGGCACCCACCCCCGACCATCCTGAGGCTTTGGAGGCTGGTGCCGGAACCTGGGATCGTACCGGGGACATTTAAATACTTCGGTTTGTCGATCATTTAATAGTAGGACGCTCGCCAAACACGCAAGTAGCCCAAGGTTCGGTTTCCCACCGGTGCACTCCTAAACCCCATCTAGATTACTAATCGATAGTGAGTCCAGAATTGTGGGAAGGTTGAGCATGAGGCTAGCAACCCCAATCTGTAAAATCACAACACCACTGCTATTAAAACTTCAAAAGCCCAACTTGAAGTGGCACTCAGATCCACTCAGAACGCAAAAGGATGATACAAAATGCATACACACACGCAGAGATGTTACAGCTGTCGAATACATAAATTAATAAACTAAAATACAACAAAATACTAATTCATCAAACCCAAAACAATATTGTTCCCTTATATACTCTTACCTCTGATAATAACAGAATAAGTACATCCATACACAATACAGGCATTGGACGAAGTTGTGGTTTACTATCCATAGCATTACTACTCTTAATAGATCCAACATCACGTGTTTGGCTGCTCATCAATTCTGAATACAAATAACTAGATACAGAGGAGAACGATTGACCGCCAGAGATTTGCTTTGTACCACCACCACCACCATAGCCTAACTGATCAGTCATTAGGCCCAGACTAATTTCCACTGCTTGTCTCCATCCTTCGATAGCTGCCTGCTTACCAGCATATAAGAGCAGGCCATGAACATTACGTGTATCAATCCATTCACGTACAGCTGAAATCTGTTTAATAAGCATTGGTATTGTTGCTGAGGCCGTGGTGGTGGCGGCGGCTGCGGCTGCCGCAGAGGTACAGTTGAACACTTCCAATGAGGCTAAATGATGCGCCGATATATTAATATCGAATACTTGTTCAAATGTCAACATTAACAATTTGTTTAAATCATCACTGGTATAATTATCCAGATCATTACGTAGTCCGACTAGTTTAATGTATAAATTCATTAGAAATATTTTAAAATGAATCATTCTTGATAAACACCTGGCTGCATTTGAATCTGACGTGACAAGTGGGCATGCAATCTCTGATTTTGCCAGTACCTACGATGCCGAATAAGAAGAAAGCGAAGAATAAAAACAAAATCAAATAAAAAGGTGAATTAACTGGATAATGGCTTTTAAAATAAGAACTGTATACAGATTGCATAACACGGATAATTGTAAAGATATTAGATGTTTGGAGGCAATCGACAGGAAGCCTTGGACCTAGGTTTCGTGCTAGTTGGCACTCGTCAGCAAGGCGTATCTGCAACCTTGAAAGAACTCATGTCCCTTCTGAGATTCGAACCCGCGTCACCCAGTGCTGCAGTCACAGACGTTACCACTGAGCTATTTAGGCTCGCGATTGACCTCCTGTAGGACTGTGCAATGTACACCGTGATGGCGAGCTACCTAGAATGGTGGCCACATTACAACCTGACTGATAGAATTCAGTCTGCACCAAAGAGAGGACTAGACGCATCACACTAGTTACTAGTGTCAAATCAAAATACGGATAATTGTAAATTAACCAGCAGATATTATAGACACTATGTAACGGGATAATTCTTAGGAGACTCTCCCCCCCTTGAAGGATCTACTTTCAATATTCATACTTACATGGATGTTTCAACCAAATTTGCATACATATTCCCCTCTTTTCTCTGAAACTCTATATCATTGTCTTAACTTTTGCATATCAAATATTGAGTTCATCCTTATTAATCTTTCTTCCTGTTTAATCTCTAATTTTAATGGTTCTCTTTGTGGTTGTGTGATGCAATTTCGTTTGACTGAATCAAGGTCCTTTCGACCTAGGATTCTCTGCAGGAATTGTTGTTGAGTGATTCTTGATCACGCCGTTTTATTCCCACCTTATTGGGAGTATACCTCCCCTCATACTCAGGTGCTTCTTACGCTTGATTTGGTTAAATGACTGTCGTACAATATTTGTTTTGTATTCTAGGAAAGATTAAACCTGTGTCACTGCCTGTCGTGGCATTTTTGAGCTGATTTTGACCATATGTTATTATGGTTAAGCAGTACCGTAGATTTTATCCAAAAATAACTGCCTTTTTGTAGCCGCTGGAGGATTTTGTGCCTGCGCGTAACTCAAGGTGCTAGTTCTGGTCAGCTATATACAGTACAATGCAAAGACCAGCTTCCTGTTTTCAGAACACAACAAGTCGTTACATGCCGTTAGAATTCAGCTACCCAAAGTCGATTCTTCTACGTACTAGGCTATAATCCCCAGGTATTAGTGAGTTGAGAGCTGATGATCCTATTACTGGTGGGGTGAATTCCGAACCCAGGACGCAGTCACTGAAAGTTGAATGCTTCAAAACTCACCACTCAAATACTTTTTTAATAGACATCGAATGAATCGGTATGTTTAATGAGTCGTTCTCACTTGGTGTCCAGAGTCGACCAGGTGTTCCGAAAGAGTTGCAGGGAGATCTATATTGTTTTACAAAGAAGGAAAAAGAGATTTCCTTGCAGCTCTATATTCTGGAATATCTGAACAACTCTGGACACCATGCGAACCCGTAAAGTAATTTCAGAGTCATGTACAGAGTACGCGGAAATCTTGTCAAAGAAGTACGAATCAATCAAACCACAGTAGATATGACAATACATTGAACTATGTACACCGACGAAGTTTCTTTAGTCATTGAAGAACATACAATGGGCCCAATTTGTCTCAGCATTTGGTATGAAAGTTTTGAGTAACTCTTTGGTAAACGCCACTTTATTTTGTATGATTTGTGTAATTGTAGACTCACAATACTTTCAATGAATGCTTTCATCGTGGTAATATTCGAAATTGTGTTTATCAAGTTAGAACTTTAATAATCTGTTACTTTCAGTTGAGAAACTTAGATAAATCTTAGACAGGATATTTTTAAATATGCTACTGATTGTACGAATTCTGTTCTCAAAATATGTTCTCCCACAGCTTAATTAGTGTACATGGTCTTAGAAGCTATAGGCTATAAAAATTTTAATTCATGATAACTGGTTAGAATCAAGCTTTTATGCCTGTATGGACCTATCGGCAAGGCAAAAAAAAATGCAAACTCAAAGAAAATCAAGCGTACGCCAAATACGCATCAACCTTATTCAACAGCTGTACGACAACGGGACATGTCAAGTGATCCACAACGGAAAACTCAGCCAGGCTTTTGGAGTAAACACAGGAGTCAGACAAGGGTGATTATTATCACCAATGATGATCCTAATTGTGGTGGACTGGATTATGCGTCAGACAGTGGGAAACGAGAAGACAGGGATATCCTGGACCGATGTGAAGAACTTAGAAGACCTGGATTCCGCGCGTGGATGATTTATGTTTGATGTCACACAAAATCGAAGACTTACAAGCGAAAACCGACAAACTGGTTGAAGAAGCAGCCAGAGAAGACAGGACTCCAGGTGAACATAGACAAGACGGAGGTTATGAAAATAACCAACCAACCAACAGCAACAACAATAGCAGCAACATCCAGTGCCAATCACCATCAACGGGAGGGATTTGAAAGAGGTTACTTCATCCAGCTATCTAGGAAGCATTGTCTCAACTACACGAGGCACGGACGAGGATGTCAGGTCGAGAATCGGAAAGGCGAGAAACATATTCATCAACCTGAAACCAATCTGTAAATCTTCCGCTGTCACTCAGCCTGCATCAACAACAAAGTGATTCGGATTTTCAACACAAACGTCAAGTCAGTCAGTTCTTCTATACGGATGGATCAGAAACTTGGCGGCGGGTCACAAAGAATATTTCCAACAGCCTGTTGCAGACCTTTATCAACAACTGTCTTCGCTGGCTCTATACTCAAGATCAGATGGCCGGAAAGAATCACCAACAAGAAACTATGGGAACAAACAAAACAAGAACCAATCGCTCAACAAATATGCAGGAGAAAGTGGAGATAGATTTGACACTCGCTGAGGAGGCCACTGGGTGACATCGCGCGTCAGGTCAGTGCTCGAGTGGAATCCGAAAGGGAAGCAGCGAGTGGGACATTCAAGGGTGATATGGAGGAGATCGTGTGTAGAGGAGATGAAAGAGTATGGAATAACCTGGATGCAGGTGAAAAATACAGTAGAAGTCAGAAACAGGTGGAGACGTGCAGTTGAAGCACTATGTTACATTAGGAACCCAAGGGAACAATAATAATAATGATAAAGAAAATCAAGCCACCCCCTCCCTTTCGTTTCAAAAATTTGAACCACTGCTATAAACAGACCTGTGAAAATTAATTTATACAAAGCGTTATAAAACCATCGTTCGGTCGGTCAGTCGGTCTGTTTTCGACATAGAACTTTGCACATATGTGCACCAGTTCAAGCCGCCACACTCCCTCCTTGTAGCACACAAAGCAAGAGAAGAAAGTAGGAGAAATGCATGATATAGACAGTAAACAGAGGTGTGAGACAAAGGAATAGTAATAACGAAGAACAAAACAGTTCAATTGGAAATCATAAGTCACAAGGAGTGGATGCATCTGCGCCAGCCACTGAGAACGATTTTGAGCCATGTCACCAATTGTTTCCAACCATTGGTTTTTATTGTCCTGAGGACCCCAACTAGGAAGCCAGCCTACATCTTCCTACGTGGCTTAGACTAACTGTTGTGGATTTCATTGACTGGTGCCATGTTTTCGTTTGACCGCCGCTAGCTCTTTTCCAGCCTGGCCCTATATCAGCTAACATTGCGCGTTGTCGAGGAAGGTGATGACTAGGCATACGTAGCACATGTCCTAAGCATCTCAGTCGATGTAATTTCACCGTTTCGTCGATTGATTTCCCCCTCCCTACCTAGCACTCGACGCCTAACCTCAATAGTGCTCACCTTATTATACCACTTCACACAGGAGATAGAACGCAGACACCGACCGAAAGCTGTTGCCTTGACGTGGTGGTCGGGCTTGAACACTGCAATGACCCAACAAGCTACAGTGGCTGGAACTATTGCTCCCGTAGGTCCTAGCATGCCAGGAAGATTGTTAGGATAGCGATTAGACTAAAAGCAGTTACAGGTTTAATGGAAGAATTTCTATAAACTATGCCGGGGGGGTCTGTGACCGAAGTCGTACTGCTGGGGAACAAGGATGTAACAGCAGTGAGGTCTCTCCCTCAGATGACCAGCATGACAGCTATGCTGTCTCTCCACGCTGGACAGAGGGGTTTAGAAAAGGTTGGCCTAAAAAATTGTACATCCCGAATTACCCTACGGTGGTCTGTAGCTGGTGTGGTAAGTTTACTAATACGGAAACAAACCAATAAACGAGTTCATACAGGCCGTGTGTGACCGGCCAGCATCAAGCAGTTATCCCCTGGGCTCTGCGGTCAAGCAACACTTCTTATTCTCTTTCTGTTTCAGGTAACCCAAGAAATAATCAACTTCCACAGTGTGGGCAGCTGACTTTATCCTCCTTCTCCCCTGTGTCACTTCAAAGTATAAAAAAATGCAGTGTGGAGAGGAGAAGAGAAATGGGGTAAAAGCTATCCCGCATCAAGGTATCAGCTATGTTCCACAGATGGATACTAATAAAAAATGGAAATAAGAGCAAGTTTTCTAAGCCTTGATCACTTCCAAAAAACCCCAAGATATTTGAAAGTTTGCTGTGTTTTCACTCACCTATTCATTCTGAAAAGAACAACCTTCCTTCCTCTCAAACCTTTCAAAGTCCTTAAACTAAAGCTACACATAGAATGTCATCGATAAATTACTTACAAAATACATTGAAATAATAATATCATTATGAAAAAAATAAGATAAATGAATTAGTTAACAAACAAAAGAAAAAGAGAAACTACTTCATGAATGAGATTTGGATCAAACATTTTTGATTCCAATGGATTTGATTCACTGATAAACTCTTCAGAGGCATTAAGCAATGGAATAAAGTTGATCAGAACAGACGGGGCTAAACCAAAATTTTAAAACAAATAGAGAAAAAAATAGGTATTCAAAAATTTAGCCAATAAATAACAAGATGATCAAAAGTAAATAAAAAGTGACGGTTATTTAACTTTTCAAGTATTGGCTTTGTAGGCATCTTGTTTCATTGCATGGAGGATTCCATCATGAGCTGACATCAGTTAGAGAACCACTGGAAAACCTGAAGCAAGCACTGGACAGCTGTTTCGTCAGTTTAGGACTCTTCATCAGTGCGCACCCACCGGGATTCGAACCCGGGACCTTCTGGTTACAAGGCGAGCTCGTAGACCATTGAGCCACTGGGACCCGATCCAATGGTGCTTGAATTCCAAATTCTGCCAATTCACGACATAGCTGATGTCAGTCCATGATGAAATCCTCCATGCAATCAAACAAAATCCCTACAAAACCAATACTTGAAAATTAATCTGATGCTCACTAGTGTCTGC